TGTGTGTGTGTGTGTGTGTGTGTGTGTGTGTGTGTCAGAGAGACAAGTGTCCTTCACCTGAAGTTCTCTACTTTTTATGTCCTTGTTTAAAGGTAATCCTGTGTACTCAGACAAATAAAACTTTTAAAAAACAGATAAATGGATTCACTCTACAGAATTGCTGAAGTGCTTTTATTTTAGGCAACAGGAAGTGTTGCAAGCATTTATGATTGTGACATATTGGACAGATAAATATTGAAACTGTGCTGCAGAACGCGGGAAAAAAATCGTTGAGGAGAGCAACACTGAACAGCAGTTGCTCCGGGAGCGTTCCGTGGCCGGAGTGCTCCGGGCAACAGTGTTTAAATAAGGTGTGAATGGAGTGCCTCCCTTTAGACATACTTGTATTTTCTCACGGCAGCAGCTGTCACACATCACATGTAAGTCTATAATGAGACTTGATGCTATTAAAGTGAACATGTTGTGATCTTGATCTTTACAATAATCCAAATTTTATACAGCCTAATGCTATAAAAATTAAGGCTATTTATCCATTGTCAAAACCCACCAACATGCATGAATACCAACAAACAAGAAAACATTTAACAGATAAACTACAATTTTTTGAGCATGGAAATAATGAGCAGAAATTACATCTTAAGTCTGGCGTATCATTCAGCTTTGCCTCACAAACTAATTTGGCCCTATATTTATCACCATCATTTTTCTAAGCCTTTTTCAGAAGTCTAGTGTCACTCGCTCAGATAGAGAGATCATATTTTCTGTTTTTTACAAAAAGTATTGCACTGAAATTGGTATCATTATCGAAACAAACATTTTTGGTATTGTGACAACACTACCATGTAAACGGTATTTTCTGATTACCTTTACCTGAATAAGGTCATACTATCAGAATAAGCAATAAACGTATCAAGACATGGATTAGTCTGGCCTTAGTCACAAAATGTGGACATCATGTTGTGACATCGACACTTGGCAGTTACCAACTGCTTGACGACGCGTGCCCTGGGTTCGAGTGTAATGTTCATGTGAGTTGGAACAGAGAAGACAGCCAATGACTTCTTTGTTCAGTTTATTGGCAGCATCCAACGTCAACCTGCATTACCGCCATCTACTGTGTTCAACTCCTCAGCCCTAATTCATCCTCCTCCTCTCTGTTCAGTCCAGTCAAATGGAGTCTTGTGCTAACAAGTCTCATTAAATTATAAACAGCAGCTCTTTGTAGATACACTATGTGACAGCTGAAGTTGCTACCTGATGTGTTTTTAGTTTGCAAAGTTCCAGGTCACTTTCCAGAGCTGCAGGACTGTTTAGCTAACTTCAAAATGGCTTACAGCCAAAAATAGCACTTGCATGTGAGTTACTATTTACAGTGAGTGTATTTTGTGGCTGACTCCAGCAGCACATAGTCATATACCTGTGAACCAAAGGGTGTTAACTTGTACTTTCTTTCCCATCTTTACCCAGAATGCCCTCTGACCCCCGACACCCCTAACAGTGAGGCCAGAATGTGCACAAGCAGTAGCCGCCTCGCCGCCCTGAAGAGACAGAACGACATTGAGCTCAAGGTCAAACAGGGCGCAGAGAACATGATTCAGATGTACTCCAATGGACCCTCCAAGGTAAGGATTCAACAGGAGAAGGGAAAATTCCCCTGACATTCAGGTTTTCGCTGCTTCATGTCGGGCAGCCAAGTGTGTCACACACATCGCTTATGCTGTTTCTAATCTCACTTGTTTAGTTTACATTTATTTATATTAACATTGGACTCAACTAAAGCATGTGGAATCATCACCCAAAATATTCACATGAGACACAAGCAGTCCGTTGATTGAAAAGGAACATAAGCATCATTAACATGTTAGCTCAACTTAAAGGTGAACAGTAAAATCAATAAATATCTATCTGTTTACAGTAATAGTTTACAAATCAAGTTCATATGTTCAACTTTGAACTGTTGGATTTGCAGTAGTTGTGTGCACATGTTTCTTCCTGTACAAAAAGTGATTATTGGCAACATTTCAAGAAAGCGCTGACTTTCCATTGTAAATCCAAATACGATGTTTTAGTGTTGCCAAAAGTTAAGGAGTTGTGATCGCATTCAAATATATTTAACAGCTAATTTAAGCAAAAAGGTAATTGAAGCTTTTTTTTTTTGCTTTCCTTTCCTGTTGCTCATTAACTGACCTCTTTAGATGTACTGTACTTTCAACCCCTAGTTGGTCATCCTGACACACAGGTGGGAACCACTAAAATATCTTTTTCACAAGCTGACAGCTCGTGTTTCTCCCTCTTGTGGTCCCTGTACTATTATAGCGATTGTATTGTACAGAATTATACCTGATGTGAGCTTTTGCTTTCCATCAAGAGTCAGAGAAACCAAGACCACATCACTTCATCAGGTTATATTAACCTTTGAGATTCTGATCCTTTTAAGGTGATATTAAATGACATACTAGATTTATTTGAACAGCTCAAAGGTAAGCTTTTGCTTCCCCACACTACACTGAATTTACAAAAGCCACTACTTATGGAGATACTTGTCTTTATTATGCAGATCTTAGTACTTCACTGTATCTTCAGGCCATCTTGCTAATTAGACTTGGTGAATTTGTTGCTCTTTTGCAAAACACCACTGAGGACAAACACAGAAGCTACGTGACTGAGTTGTATCATGAACCATAGACACTCATCAACAGAACTGAGCTTCTGAAACCTGAGGTAGCACAGTGTTTTTAATGAAGGTGCCATCCATGGTCATTATCATTCCCAGTTTGAAAGCCAGCCTCTACTTTTGAAGATGACTAAATGATACATGGCAGGTTTGTGTTTATAACTAGGGGAGGAGGAAACATGAGAAGGCGCTGACACATACTGTGTCATATATAGAATGTGAACAAACACAGGGGTAAACAATAACCCTTGGGTCAAAAATTGATTTCCTGCAGGTAGAGACTGCTTTTTTAAGGAGGGATTAAAATAGTTTTTGTTTGTGTGAGACATTTAATTGTGATGTTGTGAGTGGACTAAGAAGAACAGCTTCCTGCAGTACTGAGAGCCTTTCATGCTCATTTTGGCTTCATCAATAGTAATTGAAGCCACTTTGTAGTAGACAGTTTAGTGTAAGGTTTCAATGGTGTCATCTCCACTTGGCTGGTGATGTAATTCTGCGTAATTTAATACCGCATCCATTTATCATATTTGTCATGCCTTGAGAGGGCTAGTAACATTTTGGGAAATATGCTCATTTGATTTCCAGCTGAGAGGGTCAGGGGGTGAGAAGACTGATATCACCCTCTAGTCTGTATGGTAAATAAGAAGCTGCAGGTGATTAGCTCAGCAGTGGAAACAAGGGGAAACTGTTAGCCTGGCTCTGTCCAAAGGTACGAAACTCTGCCTACCAGCACCTTGAACACTCACTCATTATGTGCACATCTGTTTCTCTGCGGCGTCCAAGAAATGGTCCAGGGAGCCACTGTGCCTGGCCAAGAATTAGTCCTGCACAGGAACCTCCCCCATTTAAAAAAAAAAAAAAAGAAAGAAAAGAAAAAAACACTGCTTGACAGTTTTCTTGCTCTGAGAGTATTTTATTTATCTATTTATAAATATATGTTTATTAGTTTTCCAACAGGTAACAAAACATTTGGCTCACACACATATTCAAATCCATACAGGCAGAAGATTCAGGGGTCACTTCCTATACAAGTAAGAATAAATGAAAAACAGATAAGTAAAATAAAAGTATACTGAAATAAAAGTAAATCAATTAAATGGTAAAACAGAGTGCCTCTTTTGAGGCAGAGCATTCTGAGCTATGATACAAACCCTCTTGTGAAGAGTATTTTATTTTAAAGAATCATAACTCTCGTGTATGCATAGACTTTTTAAATTGAATTTCACACACTCTCAGTTTTTTTCTAAGAAGAATTTGTGCTGAATTGTAAAAAAAAAAGTTCTATGAAGCAATCAGACATTAGTACTTGAATTACACCTAGCTAGACCCTGAAGGCCTTTGGTCTCAGTACTCAGTACCAAGTGAGTTTGGTTTAAAAGGAGCAGGCACTTGAAGAGCTTTTGTCTGTAACTGTAGTACAGTGATAAGGCCTGAAAACTGCCACATAACCCTGGCGGTCTGTCTGGCCAGGGGAGGTCAGTGTTTTATGTGACCTTCCCCCCCGGTCAGACAGACTGAGATAGGCACCTTCCAGTTGGAAATAGTCTTGTCCTGATGTCACAGAGGAAATGCCTGCTGGACAGAGGTCTTTCCTGTGCGCGCCGCCATCAACTGCTAGGATTTTAACTTCAGAGGAATTCTGGGTGGAGTTTGATAACGGCACTCTGTGTGTATGTGTGTGCATGTTTGCATGTATGAGAAGCAATTACAACACAATGAGATTCCATTTTCTGTTTTGTGAATAAAATGTTCCATGTGGTCACTGATACTTTGGCTCCAATTTAGGGCATGATCTGGCTTCCTGGCTGTTTGTGTTACGTGCTCACAACTTCAAAACACAATGAGTAATGATTGATGTGGTGCATTTGTCCTTATGTTGAAAGTTATTTGAAGAGAAACATTAGAACTTTTGGGTCTGTCATTGATTTACATAATGTGGCAATATTGACTGTTTCCTCTTCACTCATAGGATCGTAAGTTGCTAGCGACAGCCCAGCAGATGCTTCAGGACAGCAAGACGAAGATAGAGTTCATCAGGATGCAAATCCTCAAAGCCAGCCAGACCAGCGAGTTGAGCTTTGAGAACAATGATGTGATGGGTGAGTCATTGCTTTCATTCTGTCATTGATTACAATTTGTCAGCAAGGCCTCTGAGGAGAGATGCCCCGAGTATATTAATTCAGAAAACTACATCAAAATAAAAAATGAACATCCGTCCTTGTCCTCTAGAAAAGCCCATCATTAGCCCGTTAGACCTGCGGGTGGAGGAGCTGTGTCACCACGCCAGGATAGAATCTGCTGTCGCAGAGGGAGCCAAGAATGTCATGAAACTTCTGGGCTCAGGAAAAGTTACAGAAAAAAAAGCGCATTCAGAGGTAAGACTGCGTGCGTGCGTGTGTTCTTATTTAAAACAAACAAAAAAAAGATTTCTCTTCACAGTTGTGTTGACTTCAAATGAAATTGATCCCTGCACTGTTGGTTTCCTCCAATAAAGTAAAATGCACCAAGTAATTGATGTTTTCTCTTTCTATCCTTCTTTCAACTTACCCCACACCCCTCTTTCTTTTTCCTTCACCAGGCCCAGGCTCGTTTTAACGAATCCAGTCAAAAACTGGACCTCCTGCGATATTCCTTGGAGCAACGCCTCAACGAGTTGCCTAAAAACCACCCGCGCAGCAGCAGCATCATAGAGGAGTTGTCCCTGCTGTCGTCACCGGCCCTCAGCCCCAGATCTAGCCTCATTTCCACACAGAACCAGTACAGCACAGTCACCAAGCCCGCTGCACTCACAGGTGACTGGACCAAGAACATAATAATAATTGTAGTTGTTGACATTGTTCTGAACACAATATAACAGATGTTATCAGGTGTATGTATTGAAAATCAAACTTGTTTTGCAGTCATAATTACTTGATTTTGGCTCAATTTGTACAGTGACATAACGGACATTTCATTAGTCATCCTGTTTTGACTGATGTGTGCTTGACTCAAGAAGTTTCATTTAGGCACACAGACTTTGTTTGTGTAACGTTCCTTTAGTCACAACGGAACAAACAGCCAGCCCCATGGAACTGTGAGGGCTTTTTGGAAGATGATAAATTCTTCCCGTAAATCAGATTTAACAGTGGATTAGTTGCGCTAAATTGTCTAGTTTTATCGTCTTAAGCAGGACTGCTATGAATCCTGATACTTTTTCAAACCAAAAACAAGGCTCATTTTCTGCTGAGCTTTTAAGCTCTATTTCGTCCATTGGAGAAGATATGAATAGAATATTTTTATGGGTACAATGTGTCTCTTCTAAAACTCTTGCTGTCTCACTGGTTTTCAAACATTGTTGGCAGGTAGAGGACAACACATGTCATTCACAATTATCATCATATAAATGGTTCTTAGGTCTGAGATGGTCTGTAAGTGTGGTGGCCTAAAATAAGTCATTCTTTAAAATAAACCTGAATAAGAGTAGTCTAACAGAAAAACTAAGACTGACCCAGCTTAGTAATCAACATACATTAATGGAAGCAACCACAAGTAGCTTCTCCTAATAAAGTTTGGAAGTATATTTAAATACATAGAAGCAGTTACAATGTGGGACAACTGAACTTGGTGATCGATTGTGTGACTAAAGGAATGTTTGTCATCCTGCCTGACTTCCAGGCACGTTAGACGTCAGGCTCATGGGCTGTCAGGACCTTCTGGAAAATGTCCCGGGTCGTTCCAAAGCTGCGTCTGTCCCGCTGCCCGGCTGGAGCCCCAGTGAGACGCGCTCCTCCTTCATTAGCAGAGCTAATCGAAACCGCGGCGTGAGCTCAAGGAACCTGACAAAGAGCGAGGAGCTCTCCAGTAAGTCGGGCGCACGTCATTCTCTATCTGAAAACCGTGAAAGTTGATAAAAAGTAATTCTGTGATTACTTCACAAGTAACCAGTGAACATTAAGATTGACTAGAAACGTAACGTTATCTGTGATGCCTACTGTATTACAGTCTCAAATCAAACATTGTGAAAACACTTGTGTTTAACAAATAGCGCCCGTGTGTGTTGTGTTAGATGAGATCAGTGCAGTGTTGAAGCTGGACAACACGGTAGTCGATCAGACGAGCTGGAGGCCAGTCAGCAACCAGGCCTGGGACCAGAAGTTTACATTGGAATTGGACCGGGTAAAAAAACATACACACTTTGACTCAGTGTTGTGTTTGTGCAGCGGAGCCTATTTTCACATCTGTTTTATGTTGTGCGTGTGTTTGTGTGGCTCTGTTGTGTAGTCTCGTGAGCTGGAGATCTCGGTGTACTGGCGTGACTGGCGATCGCTCTGTGCTGTCAAGTTCCTTCGGCTGGAAGACTTCCTGGACAATCAGCGTCATGGGATGTGTCTGTACCTTGAGCCACAAGGGATGCTGTTTGCTGAGGTGTGCACACACACACACACACACACACACACACACACACACACACACACACACACAC